ACCTGTTGGCTACACTTAGAGTATCGGCTGGCTGGAAGAGACAAACCCAGATTAAAACCACTGTATCTGGGTAATCTCAAACCAGTGGATTGCTATCTATGGGACTGTTTTGCTAAGGGTGAATTATAGCGGTCTCAATGGCTAAACTAATTCCTATCACCACAGCAATGCCTTGTTTACTCCCGGCCAACATCTGAAATGAAGTAACAAGGAGGTTTTGAAAAGCTGCTGCAATGACCTGGAGATAAATGTATCCAAAATAGTTTCTACAGATGGTAAAAAAACAATCCCCACTTAGTTTCTGGAGGAGCAGAGTACTGTTGGTTTTTTTTTTAATTTTTTTTAACATAACATTTCAAATTTCTCCTCTATCAGAAATGTCTAGTTGCACTAAAACCAGCGTTGGAAAAGAAATCAACTGTCTCTGCTAATAAGAAGAACTTTTCCTCTTCCTCACAAAGATCCTGCCATTTCATTCATAAATAAAATAAGCCACTAACTCAGTTGTTGGCAGGCTCTCCCTTTTATCTTTCACTCACTTGAGAAAGACTAGCAACATCATGTTTTCGGAAAGCCAAGTGTAGTAATCATAGAATCGGATTTCATGTATTTTTAAAAGCATTTGCAGCAGCAGAGCTCCAATCACTTTTAAAAGAAATATAAACATATAGAAATTCGGAAGAAGCTACTCAGAGCTCCTGACTTTCTTCATTCCTTCAACACGAGATGAATGTGCTGGAAAGGGACTCGTTTCTAAAGGAGATCTCAAAAAGTTAGCACCATTACACTACAAGCACCGTAAAGCCAAAATACTTATTATCTCAAATAAGCCTGGATGACATTTGAGATGTCTCGACATTTATTGCCCTGCCAGCAGAGTATGGGATCAACCAGCTCCTTTTCTCTCATTTCTTTTTTTTCTTTCCTCCTGCTTGCTCAAAGTCCATGTTCATAAAATATTTAGGGGGAGATATTCAGAGGATGATATTGCCTATACTATAGCCCCAGTGCAGGTTTACTGTGCTACTGAGACAGATATTCTGCCACCAGAGAAATCAAAAGAGTTGATGGGGTTGATTTACTGCACCAGGAGCTCCCTGTCAGACTGACAGTCTGGGCTCGATCCTTGCCTGGGACACCAGTGTGAGCGGCAGTCGACAAAATGAGCTAACACACGGAACAGATCTGCTCCCTTTTGCATGGTTATAAGGAGAAATGTTACTTTTCAGAACGGAAAACAGAAATAGGAAAGTTCTGCCTGTTTCTGAGCTGCAGCTAGGGACAGCTGACCCTTTCTTACCTCTTGTTATTTTCTTCCCAGTGGAAAAAAAAACCAGTGAAATCTGGAATTCAGATGCACTGCTAAATTAAGCTATCAGTTGGGCAGCATCCCCTACTAGTACCACCCATTTCTACAGCAGCCTGCCATAAATTAAATAAGCTAGCACGGTCCCCTCCTACCCCCTGAACTTTGATACAGCCTGTCCATCTCATGTGTTCGTATCCTCCCCTATTAATCCACATGTTTTGTGCTCCCACCACTATTTGATCTTTCCCTCCTAGTTTCATTAAATCAGCTGCAGATTTCCTACGTTGCCCTGATGTTTTCGTGTATTAGAGCAAGTATCTGCTTTTAACCTTTTCATCTAAGCCTGGCTGTCTGAATGTAGTTTTGAACCTTGGGCACACTCTAAATCCCCATCATTTTCCCTATTAGTTCAAGGGATAGATGTTCCTTTGTTCCACCTTTGGCATTTCTCACCCTTAGGCATCCAGGAGCTTAAATCAGGCTGTTGCTAAACTGTCCTCCTTTAATAATTTTATGAAGTGCAGTCCAATTATCTTTATCTTCCTTGGGGATCCATTCAATTAAGCACAGTCGTAATGAGTGAATGGACATAGAGCATTGTAACCATATTTACATCCAGATTAATGGGAACCAGGTAAGATAACTTTAAAGCCATCAATATTTTAATACCTCGGCTTTTCATTTTGCTATCTTCAGTGTCAGACACATTGAGAAAGACCAGCACAATTTGAGAGGCTGAGTTTTTAATTTCCTCCTTGGTTTGTGAAAATGATGGTTTAGAAACAGCAGCAAAGTACATTAATTTATCTTAAAATAGGTTTCTTGCAGGTTAACCAAAACACTTCTCACGACATAAAACAGGCTAGAAGGCTTCGTCCGGTTTCTTGAACATGTCATGAATTGAAGGTAATGTGAGAAATGAGTAAAGAACCAAAATTTCAGTGGGGATGCCGAGAGCATCAGGAAGTCTCATTTAATGAGCAGGCAACAGAAATGCTGAGCTAGGAACACCAGTTCTGAAGTGACTTCTCTCCCCTCTGAAAGACAAATGCTGGATCTGGAACATGGACTTGTCTCTCAGGTAGGGAACAGCTTTGACAGTTATTTTTTGTGCCTGCTTTGAGGTGCCTCTGCATCGCAGGAGCAAGGTAGAAGGGTCCAACAGAGTCTGAAAACCTGGTTCTGTTTCAACACGGCTTAACATAACAGCGTCATAGGCACTGATAAGTGTGTCAATAAGCATTTGGAGAAATAACTGGTATCCAGGGAATTTATCTTGGTTGTAATAGTTTCAGCTGAATAGGTCAGATTTGTTAACATTTTAATTTACACAAATCTGCATTCCAAATACTGCTCCTCGGCTTCTTTTCCTAACAACAAGAAAATGTCAGCAGCAAAACCAAATTTACTCCTCTAATAGCTTTCTCAAGATTTCAGGAAAAACAAACAAAAACAAAAAAACAATCTGTGGTACAGCTATGGGAGTGCTTAAACACACTTTTCAATTTAGACCTAATACAATTTTATGTTAATAAACCAGAAACTTTTGCCGATTCCATATGTAATCCTGAAATGCAGCAGAGTGTGCTGGGAATAAGCGTATCCCATGGCTTCAGGGCAGCCCCAGGATTGTGCCCAAAGCTGGTTGTTCTGCCTCAATCCAAGTGTCCCTTGCCCAACCTGGTACTCAGTTTGGGACACTCCACATCGTATTTCCATATATAAGGTGCCAGCTCGCCTTGATTTCCCAGACCCAGTGCAACAGGGGAGCTAACATGAAGCACATGGTTCGTCTGCAAGTTTTTAAAATACCTGAGACGCAATGAGATAAATCTGAAAAAAGACGACTGCTCTGCCTTATCATTTCCCCCTAATTATCACCTGACTCTTTTTTCAGCTGATTTGCTGAGATTAAAACCTCCCTCCCACCGAGTTATCCCAATCTATGTCTCCAAAATTAATATAAGCCGACAACCTTTCTCTACCCATAAAGCCCTACATTAAAATGCTGGCCCCTACTGATGTCAAGGGGGCAATAATAGTTCTGTCATTTCCATAAAATCAGCATTTTCCTGCCAGAATTCAGATGCCTCCTCTGAGTACTCTGCCACCATCCCCCCAAGGGCTGCCAGCAATCTCTACAGCACTTGTTTCTCCTCTTCGACTGCAAGCACGCTGCAGGCTTCAGCATTGCCTAGGATAATCTACCTGCTTAAGATTCAGCTAACTTTCCAGTTCTCTAAATAAAAAGAGCAGGGAAAGGTCAAATCTGCCCTAGGTTTGTGCTTGTGAAGTCTGCCACGTCAGGTGGGAAGGAACAGGCCCTGGTGCTCCTCCCTGCTCCCCCAGCTCTGCTTCTTGTCTTCACATCTGGAAAGCTCCCCACTCACCCGACCTTCTCCTTGGAAAGCTGTTTCACACAGCACCTACCCCCGGGTCGGCTCGCCCTGAAACTGTGCCTTGGGCAAGCCCCAAATCTGTGCCGTTCCCAGCCAGCAGCACCCGTCCCCGTGCTGGTCCCACCGGCTGCCCTGGGGCACTTCGCTTGCTGCTGAGCTGCTGCCGGTGCTTTTATCCACTCTCGGCAGAGGCTCTGCAGCTGCATTCGGAATTCCTCCCAAAGCTGCTGTGCCGCTCTGAAGCAAAACAGGGGCCCCAGACACGTGAATGAAACAGGCTCCCGTTTGCTCCATCCCTGCCATCAGTCACAGGAGAGGAATGGAGAACAAAACCAGTTTCTGGTGCCTTCTCTCAGAAATGCAGCACTCTGGGCTCTCTCAAAACGGATTTCACCGGACTTATTATCTCTGGAGGCTGCCTGAACCTAAGCATCTGAGCCTAAGACTATGTAGGTCCTTACTTTCGTATTTGTCGCATAACCATACCATCTGTGGCTGGTTGCTCAATGAACAAATGATCCTTCCCATCATTTAGTTCATGGAGACCTCCTAACTGCATTGGACAGGTGACACTCCATGAACCACACAGTTCAATGAGGAAAAAAACACTGAACTTAAGTTCTGGGGTTCTCTCTCTTCACACCCATTGACCCCTGTCCCCTTTTTCTTCAGTCACTCCCACCCACCACTGATGCTACACTGATTTTTGTTTAATGTGTGAGGTATAAATGCTTTGTCCTTGAGCTATACTCAAAATTAGAGAAGGCAGAGCTCTGAAAATCACACTATATAGCTTACGCTGGCGGAGCATGTTTTTGTCAGTAAAAGTGACACAAGGATGCCATCATGAAACATGCAAAGTGTGTTGAGTACAGGCTGTGTAGCTGCTTCCAAAGATAACACGTGAAGAACAAGCAAGACAGGTCCAGAAAGGGCTACAGATGTCTGACACTTTATTTGTCCCCCAACAGTACGGGGACAAATGCCAGCTTATTCATCACCCCACTCCTTCTGGAGTATTTTCTACATCTTTGAGTTGTACCAGTTTACGCACGGAAAATATCAACTTCACAAGTTTGAAGATTCTCCCAGTGTTTCATTGACTGATATGGATTAAGACAAAAATATCACATCAAAGCCGTGATGCCCCACACTTGCTGCAGAAGCAAAGACCACGATCTCCACATCACAGCTCAAACTTTTAGAGGCTTAGTATTCAAGACAAGGTTTTGGCTTTGCAAGTCAGCAGCCCTCAACAACAGGAAACCTGGTACGATGGCTTTTAAACTCACCTCTCTGTCAAGTCCAGCAGCTACAGTGACAATGTCTCCCGTCTCACTGTTAATAGTAAACATATTTTGCGATGGGCTCTGTGGAGTCTGAGTCACGATTCGGTATCTCACCATCCCGTTCGCTGTAGTACTATCATCCGCATCATTTGCTGTCACTGTCATCACGTAGGTACCTTGGAACAAGAGAAGACGAAATATCAGGACCATCTCATTGCAGAGCAGACTGCCGTCCCGTCGACTCGGAGTCACGCATTTTACTCAGAAGTGCTACAGCGTCGACATCCCATTTCAATCCAGCCGGCTAGGCAAGGCGAGGATTATGAAAATAGCCACACTGCTGAGACTAGATGATCTGTAAGGATACTGATTACACATAACTGGTATGTAGCGAGAAGTCATATGAGGATATCTATGATTAACTTCTAATTCTTTCAGTGATTGTAAGTTTTAGGGCAGCATCTTTTTGTCCTGCAATTTCATATAGATTCTCACAGGAGATATTTTTTTTTCCATCCAATCACTGCATTCACATGCATTCAGAAGTAGAGCTTAATAGTGGAAAGTCCATCAGACTTCTCAGCAGCTTCAGAAGGATCCCATCAACATGCCCATGCCCAGTGCAAGAAGCAACTGCCTGCTGCCTCCAGTTCTTGGAGAAACATCTCCTTTCTGGAGAAAAAAAAAAAAACATTTCTGCAGAGCAAATGGAACAGCTGCTGCCCAGCAGGACAGAAAATCAATGATTCGGTATGTGTGGCCAGCGATGTATTGAATCATTGGTTTGTTTCTTGCTAATCACCAGTGTCTTCATTTGCCTTGCAAAAAACAATCCCTACTTTCTAGATACTGTTGGGAGTGCACTGATGCACCGACAGGCTCATTATCACCGGAGTTTGGCAGCAGGGCGTTTTGCTAAAGTGGGAAATTATCATTATGAGGGTAAAAGATGTTACTTGATTGGATGGACTCCTGCAGCTGCATGGTCCTGTGACCCCCCAGAGCTCATAGGCCCCAGCTTTACTCTTGTTATATAGGTAGGAGAGAACATCTAAAAGGGCAGACACATACTGCTTACAAAAAGCAATCTGCAACAGTGAATGAATCTAACGATACGCGACCCAAAAGGCGGAGTGAGAGGCAAAGAGAGACGGGGAAACCAGACATAACCTCATTCAGGGCCCATCAAAACTCAGCAGCATCAACGGAAAGATGGAAGGTATTGCTTGAACACTGCACATTTGGGAACTCTGAACAGGATGAACCAACTTACGAGCCTGCTGTGTTGGAGGAGACGCAAAGCGGTCCCAACAAGAACCTGAGCTGATTCAAGATGGAGCCACACACTGTTTTACAAAAAGAGCTGAGTTTGTTCTGCCCACTTGGTTAGATGTGAGGCACTGGCAAACTCGAGGACAGGTGGCTACATCAACATTCCACCATGTCTCACGCAAAAAGACCAGACCCCCAGCTCGGTCACAAAGCTACCAAGCTTCTAGTTCAGAGAAAGCGGAGCTGGAGGGCTTGCATCTGTTTGCAAGAGAGTTTAAAAACATAGCCCATGCTCTAAAATGGGCAGATCTACCAGTGGCTGCAGCATGCCCATCTTTTGTAGCCTGTCTTTAAGCCACTCAGCACATAGGCAACCCCCCCAGTATGTTCCCCAACTTTGGGAAAACAACATTTCTCAGTATTAGCAAGAAGTGGCCTCTAATTTTGTGTTTTCGCACTGTGGAAAGTGCTTTGCTGATCTCCTTCCGTCTAGCTCAATCAGGCTCTTTTTGTTCTCTGTGGTGATACATATTCCTGTGAGTTTTCTTAGTTCAATAAGAATTATAGATTAAAAAATAAATGAATGTGTAAAGCAAATTCTAATGATGAATACATTCCTATCCTTCTGCAATAATCCTGATTCACATTTATGAAATGAAAACAAACTATTCAACAACTTTAACATTTTTCCGATCAATAAACTTCAGGAGAGCGAAGGAACACAGAATTGAAACAAGGCTGTGCAAGCAATGAGTTTTCTCCTTTCTCTTCAAGCATTCTTTTTTCGCTCTTTTGCAAAACCAGTTATCACGAGACAACCGATACAAATAAAGAAGCCAACCCTTAGATAAGTACAGGGGAAACGTACAGGAGAAATTTAAATAGGAAATATGCTGAATGAGATGTTTGATTTGGAATTTATGTTATCTTAATGCATTCTATACTGAAAATATCTCTGACCAGAATGTCAAAACCTGGGGCTAATGAAAACAGGAGTGGAAAAGGAAAACAGAATGTATTTTAGGACACGTGCAGTCTTAGGACATACTCCAAAAAAACAGGCGGTATTTCGTGATTTACTTCTAGAAACAGCTCAGAAAGGAAAGTTATTTGGGTTACTAGGTTCAGACAAGGGCACCCCTCACCTGGGATCTCTCAGACTGCACTGCAGTTTCCAAAATAAACCAGGATGTGTGCAAGACAGTGGGTTCCCAGCTCAGCAGGGGAACCCAACAGCCTGCAGCTGTGGTGGGCATGGG